CAAATTACTTTAGCAAAAACAATTCTTTAGTTATAGTCACGTATAAGTGTGGATGTACCTGGGGAAGACATATATCATGGGGTCGACGCGATCCTCCTGGTCGGACTCCATGTACGCGATCACCTTCAGCCCGAACGTCATGAACTCGCCGTCGAAAAACCGGTTCATCAGGAACATTTGCCCTGCACAAGAACAGTTTACATTGTTTTTTTTATAAGAGAAGGGGGCAAACGAGCGGCGGGAACACAGAGGTCAACGGCGCCCACGACGACGTGGTTTAGAGGATTGTGTGTTTGAGATTACAATGGTACGGTGTAAGTGGTATGGACGAGCTTTCGCTCGCGACTGCGTCCGTGTAACATGCACTGATCCATATATCATCACAATAATAGACGAATGATAAATGTTTTAAAAATTTAAATGCCTTTGATAGCTTCGGAAATTCAGACTGAATTTTTGTATTCGATTCAAAACGATTTATTAAAATGAGTTCCATAAAACCGTCAGTACACGTCGTTGGTTTTTTCAATAAACCTTTCCGTTTACTTCCGGTAGTTATTTTTTATTTTTTATGTATTAATAAAAATAAGGCCAGTGTGTGCTGACGAAAGCTGTCGATGTCATTTTTAGGTGGGCCACGAAATAAGCGATGATACGTTACCGATTAGAATCATAATAAAATCAACTAACAATTATTACGTTTATTACATTGTATAGAGTATTGTACTGTCAAATTCCTTTTAAACCTTTATTTTTACTCAATAAACATTTTTTTTATTTTTCTCATTAATCAAGTTTTGATAAAGTTACCAATATAAGTACGTTTCAGTAGTTAAATATGAAAAACAGATATGTATTATGAATCGATTGTACATGACAAATTAACAATCGGCTCTTAATGCTGAAAATTCAGTTTCATGGCCCGACGTTTTGCCAAACTTATTTCAGTAGCCATCTGTGGTGAGAGCGGGCCTGAATCACAAGTATCTACCTACCGGCCGCAAGTTGTAAATCATATAACATTAAAACTATCCGATCCTTATTGAACCATCCCTCTCCCCCTTTTCTTACTTCACTAATAAGGAAGGAAAGGATGCAATGCCTTAGGACGTGATGTATATAAGACAAAGAGCGTGACGCACTTGAAAATAAACTATCGCACAACTATTGTAAGATCGTCGATTGTTTCGCAGCCAATTCAACTGTTTAGTTGCATCGTTAAACTAACTAGTGTGCGCACCTCCATATAAGGTCATAGGAATCAAAGCGCGACTAAACAGTTATGCATTTGTCAAAGGTGTGCGCTCGCTCTATGCCTAGACCAGGGGTGGCGAACCACTGGCACGCGTGCCATAAATGGCGCACGAAATAATATTTTGGGCACGTCGAAAAACACTTAGAAAAAAATATGAAGTAAGTGCACTATGCTATGGAATTGACGTAATAATCGCAGTCAAAATTATTCGATGGCACGTCTATGATCGCATCAGACATTTATATAAAAATGGCACTTTGAGGCATAAATGTTTAGCACCCATGGCCTATAACATCTACTAGCGGCCCTCATGTTTTAACTTGTAGATGGCTGTCGGCAGTTTGTATGTTTAAAACCATATATTTAAAAAAACTCACCTATAACATTTATAAGAGCGAGCGACTCGCACAGATAGTACCTGTAGGCCCACCAGTTGTGGTACCTCAGGTTCTCCCAAAGGTAGTCTAGGATCAGCTTCTTCTTTGTCTTCTTCTCTATCTCTGTGCAGACGCCAACGTCGAGGTCCATCATGAGGGCGCGTATCTTGCCCCCCTCCCACGACTTCCAAAGCCACCGCGGCGCGTAAAACAGCATCGCCTGAAACAACAATACAATCAGAGAGTTTAATGTCTCGTTTTGGATAAAGTACATTTTTGAACTTGTAATCAACAATTTCTCGATATTTTTTTTATTTATCGTTTTATTATTATTTATATTATATTGTATTTATAAATATTTTGTATCCACGTTGATATATAATATCGTAATGCATACAAATAAATAAAACAGATCTCCAAGTGATTCATGATTCGAGTTACTCTAAATAAAACGTTCTAAATCAAAAGCAGATATTTTGGCGAAGCGGCCGCTTCGACGTGAGACCGCGTACTCGTACTCGTTGCAAAATAGACCCATTTTAAAGGCGTCAGAGCTGCAAACGCATCTGCTGATTGTACGCCAATAAATTCGTTCGGCTAGACGGTGCCATAAAACAGCGCTTTATGGATATGAAGTATTATCGGAGTTTTCATCGGGTGCGTTTCAATACTACTATTTATTTAGGACGCGAATGTTTTTGCTGGCTGTACAAGTTTTGCAAACGATATCTCAATTAAACTCAAGTGTAGGCTGCCGCTAGATGGCGTTAGTTGTCGAACAAAGAATGGAAAATGTGGAAAACTTGAAAGCAAAGAAAATAGTTAGTTAATAGTGTAGTTAAACGGAAATATATGTTATTATAATTTTGCAGGGAATTTTAGAAGGTTCTTTAATCAATTAATTAAATACATCGAAATTATATAAGGAATAATTTGCAATGATTATCAAACCCTATATTTTTTTAGTAAACAAATTGTGTTACTAGAAATTGCCATATCTTCTTAAATTAAATAAACAAATGACGTTAAATAAAATGACAGATTATAAAAAGGCATTATAATGATAATTTGATTAGTATTAAAGTTTGAGATTCGCGTATAATCCGCCGTGACTAACAAGCGCCGAGGCAGTTGACCTTTTGTCTTGTTAGTTAGACATCAAGTGTGTAGTTGGCCTTAGATGTTTCGTCGCCGCCCGGATACAAAACCTTTAAAAATAAAACATACACTTGGACGATAAACAAACGTGTAACTGTTAACACTCTAATTTTACAATACTTTTAAAAACAACAATTTGTCTCCAATGGTACATAAGTTTCTTGCGGTTTATTTGTTGGGATATATGACAAACTAGCTGTTGGTCGCGACGTTAAAAATATAGCCAATGTTACTCACAGATAAAGCTTTTTAAAGGTGTAAGAATTTTTGAAATCAGCCCAGTAGTTTTTGAGTTATTTCAATATATACAAAACTACAAAAATCTAAAAATACAAATGTTTCCTCTTTATAATCTTAGTATTATTAGACAACTTATTTAATTGATACTGTCGCTTTTAACTCAGAGCAATACTTCTCGTCAAGACTTAGGATGCGCGCCAAATCTATCCATACTTCTAGTGACATTGACAGCTGTCAGCTAGGGACGTGACGTTTATGCCGATAATCTAGAGTTGCGCCAATTCTATAGCACGGTACTAATTTTATTCCTAACAGTTTGGATATAAGATTTTTAATTCTTATTATTGGTTCTTTAAATTAATAAACATGTTGCTCTGTAACAAAGTTTTTAAATTTTTTATTATCACAATATCTTAGAAACCAAATAACAAACTACAAGACTAAATACAATAATAATAAATTACGACACTAACCTGTAACAAAGTAACGACATTTATGTAATTTATCATCTTGTAATATATTTTACTTACTATACTTAAGACGCTATTCCTCTAAGATGGCTTTCAAAATCAATTACTCATAGACAATCATTTAGAAACAGTTTTAAAATAAAGGAAATGTTAATTTCTTTGCATGGATATTGTTAGTTACTTTTAAAAATAATCTGCGTATGTCCACTTTTGCACTATCTTAGTAAAATAGTAAAAATGTAATTGTTATAATCGAATTACGCTAAGATAAATAACTGTAAAGTATAAAATGTGTAGTTTTATGTAAAAATATGAGATAATGTCTTTATCTTAGTTCGAGGCGTGTGTTCGAGTACTTGGAATTCACATGCGAGCGAGCCCCGCTCGGTTGTGAAGATAAATGTCGAGATGGAGACGTTGACGTCCGTTAACGTTACCTATTCATATTTAGTATAAAACTAAATAAAAACACACATTCAAGACTATAGGAGAAGCGTGAGAAATCATTAATTATTATAAAGTCAGGTATTTCTAAAAAAATATATATTTATCGATGACTTTTTTTGTGAACCTTTGTCTTTTAAAAAAACTTATGTACATATTTTTTCTATGATTGTTTTGACGTAAAAATTAACAGTTCTTTCCCGACATTTCTCAATTTCCCGAGAATTCATTACAATCGCTAACTACCTAGTTGTAACGAAACAATTTGGTCGAAAGCGCAATTTAGTTTGTTCGGATATTGGTTGTGTTTATTTCGGTAATAGGGGGCGGAGCGGAGGGGCAGGGGGCAGCGGGTAATATCGTCGCACGTGCTTGTAATTGTCGGTTAATATTGCGCCTCGATACGCACTATACTGCACGCACTACACGACGAGCCGAGGTGTGACTCACTTGGCACAGGACGCCCGCGCCCGATATGCTGCTTTCAAGTTATAGATTGATAGCGTTTTTTAATTATAATAAAAATCTTATATATCTATACTTCTATACTATTATAATAAAGCGTAAACACACACTTCTTTGTTCCCTAAGATGTCAGTAATTACAGTATATTTTCGAATAACTCTTTTTTTAATAAAAAGCCCTACACTTACGATACGCTTTAGGCTATATATTTTCACGCTGTTAAACTTAGGTGTAAAGATTTTGGATAAAAACCCTAATGTGGGAAAGAGACCATAAGTTGTTGCCAACATCAAGGAAGCAAGGTTGCCATGGTCTGTTATCGTCATGTCATTTTAACATTTGTAATTGATATTTTGACAAATGTAAACAATAAAATAAATTTTTTATAGATTTATGCGGATGAGGTCGCATGGGAACAGCTAGTGGTTTATAAATGTAAAAGTGGGAGAAAAGAAAATCGTAGAAGTGATGAGTAGATATTAATAAATATAACAATTTTAACAGTATTTATTTTTAACAATAAACATTTTTATTTTATCAAGTTTTGTGCAATTTCTATCACTAAGTAATAAAGAAAAACAATGTATCGAACATTTACGTCATATCTTATTATTGTATTATTTAAAAGTACATATAAAAAATTAACATATTTCAATCACTTGGAACTATTTGTTACGATTACCTTCTTAATAAGAAGAATATTATCTATGACACTGTCCGCTTTCCGCTTACTCTTTGCGCCTTATTTCAGCGTCTAAAGAGTCGTTTTTCAACGGGACTCGTGACTTTTTCAGGGTTACGCGATTGTATTGAGAGTAAATTCGTCACACGAAATGAGTTATGATTCAATAATTATAATGACCTATATTTTCCAGCTGCAAAAGTTAAAAACAAAACTACGACATATCTACAGATAAATAATATTTTGACGTCAAAGAGATTAAAATAAAGTAGTTGTATACAGAACTAGCTGTTCCCGTGCGACTTCATCCGCATAAAATTATGAAAATTTAATTTTATTGTTTACATGTGTCAAATTATCAATTGCAAATGTCAAAATGACATGACAAACCTTGGCAACCTTGCTTCCTTGATGTTGGCAGCAACTTACAGTCTCTTTCCCACATTACAGTTTTTATCCAATTTTTTTACCCCTTAAGTTTAATAGCGTGAAAATATATAGCCTATAGCGTGACGTAAGTGTAGGGCTTTTTATTAAAAAGAATTATTCAATAATATGCTGTAATTGCTGACATCTTAGGCAACAAAGAAGTGTGTGTTTACGCTTTATTATAATAGTATAGAAGTATAAAATATGGATAAAGACGATTTTCCTGCATTTTTAATATTTCAATAGAAGTCGCAGCAAAAAATCCACTTAGACTTATCACTTAGTTGCGGTTGCAGATTGCATTTTACTTCAAAAGTTTGTCAAATTCATGAAAAAGCACAAGCTCTTATCCTATGGTACATTTAAGAATCGTAAATAATAAACATTTACAAACACTATTCTGTACTTACAGCAATAAAACATGAAATCTTACTAATATTATAAATGCGAAAGTTTAGATGGATGGATGGATAGATGGATGGATGGATAGATGGATGGATGGATGTTTGTTAGCGTTTGTAGCCTAATGAACGGATCTCTATGAAATTTGGCACAGGTTTAGAGCATAGTCTGAAAGAACACATTGGCTACTTTTTATCCCGGAAATAGTTACGGTTCCCGTGGGATTCATTAATTTAGTTTTTTAATGTTCACTCGATCATTCTGCAACGGTTCACCATATCTTATTGAACTTTGGCACAGATATAAAACAAAGTCTGGAGTACACATGGGATAAGCTTCATCCCCGAGAAATGTCCGGTTCCCGAGGGATACGTAACTTTTTGTAATTTATGTAGTTTGTATGTTTTTTTAATACCACGCGGACGAAGTCGCGGGCAACAGCTGGTTGTGAAATAAAAATATGTCAGCATTGAAGCCGCAACCAATATAAAGGCGTGAACACAACAAACTGTCAGTGAAGATAACACAAGTTTAACACAATCATCACCTGTTGGCCCCGGTATCTTGGAAGCAATTGAATCTGCCGTGGCTCGTCAATTTGAAAAATTTGAAAAGAAATTTGCAGATTTGTCCAGGGACCTAGCCTTGCTCCGCGAGTTCGGGGAGAGAGTGGCAGTTCTAAGTAGTGTGTGTGAAGGCCTCCAAACTGAAATAAATTCTGGTAAAGATCAGTACCTGAAGTTAGAAGACGAAAATAGAGCATTACGGTCAACAGTGCAGGATTTATCCACTAGACTAGGCCTAGTAGAACAGCAATCTCGTCAAAACAACATTGAAATAACGGGGTTGCCAGAGAACAGATCTGAGAATTTGATCACAACTGTTATGCAATTGAATAATATCGTTTCATCAGGCATCAACGAAAGCGAT